GGATTCGCACAACGCAACGCACGACACGCACGACACGAGTGGCNCGGACCTGGAGGGATTTCGGCCGAGGAATTGCAGGTGGCCGTCCTCGAGGTCGAGGTGGGTGAGCTTGAGGGTGGCGAGGCAGCGGTTCTTCTCGAGGGCGAGGAACAGGCGCTCGTAGAGCTCGGTCGTGAAGCAGTGGCGGTAGTCCTGCCCGTCGAACGACGTCACCCGCGGGTCGTTGTCCTCTATCTGCACATCAATCAAACATTATTCTTTTTTAATATTTGGAACATTAACTATAGAAATAATATTACTAATTATTCATCTCTATTTATTTGTTTATTTATATTATTTGATTGATTTATTACCCGAAAGAACGAAATAAAGAACGAAAGCGACGGGGGAGTACGCGGGAGAGAATGTCGAGGAGGCCGGCGAGGGAGAGCCGGGCGACTTCATGTTCGTGGTGGCCGTTCATGAGGGCGAGCATGGTCGTCATCTGGTCCAGCAGAAAGGTCGATGGCGACTTGGTGCTGTCGGCCGCGATCTCCAGGCCGTCCCCCTCCGTGCCGAGGGAGAGCGAGGGCACACGGGTCGTCTTCGCGGCAGCGGCCTCGCCGTAGCGGTCGAGGAAAACCGGCGCCGACTCGCTGCCGCTCTCGCTCGAGGCGCGTTGGCGGGAGCGGCGCTTCTCCTCCTTCTCGCGCTCCTTTCGCTCCTTCTTCATCTTTCGATCTTCGCCTCGCTTTCCATCCTTTCCCATCTTCTCTCTTTCTGTGTCTCCACGGCACCAACGGCTCTTTTATAATTATAATATTTTTTAATTTAAAAAAAGATTAAGAGTGCACAGCTTTTTGTAATATTTTTTTTACATTTTCTTGTGAAGTGGCTCACACCTCTTCAGCTGCTGTCCCACAACTCTCTTCTTCTCTTCGCTCCTTCTCTCTTCGTTCTTTGGGGCGAGGGTGTCTAGTCCTGCTCCTCCTTCTTCTCCTGGCCCTCGTCGTCGTCGTCTTCGTCTCCCTCCTGCATATCAGAAGTCCATAGCGTGAGGTTGTCCCTGATGAGCTGCATGATGAGCGTCGCGTCCTTGTACTCCTCCTCGCCGATGCCGTCGAGGTGGTTGATGGCCTCGTCGAAGGCCTGCTTGGCGATCTGGCACGCCTTCTCGGGCGACGACAGGATCTCGTAGTAGAACACGGAGAAGTTGAGCGCGAGGCCCAGACGAATCGGGTGCGTCGACGGCAGCTCTGTGTGTCGACAAATAATGATAATTAGTAAAATAAAAATAATAATTAAGAACGAAAGCGAAAAGCAAGAACGAACCCTTGGCGACTTCGGCGGCGGACTGGTAGGACTGGAGGGAGGCCTCGGCGGCCTTCTGGCGACCCTCGCCGGACGAGTACTCAGCCATGTACCGGTGGTAGTCGCCCTTCCTGTGAAGAGGAAGAAAAAGGAAAAAGAAAGAAAAAAAGTGCTTGTTGTGAGCCTCCTGGCAACCAATCGCAGGTCTGCGCCACTCAGCGAACCAAATTAATGAATTTCCCCTGACAACGCAGATGCGCAATTTATCGCCAAAATTATCAGATAAATAAAACAAATAACAAGCAACAACACCGCAGCGTTATTTCACGAAACAAATAATAAGAGAATAATAAGTATTGCGTGGCACCCACGCTGGGTGCAGATCATCAAAGAATTAAAAGAACGAAGGATCAAAGAAGAACGAAGGGCGTGTAAACTAATCTTTACGAGAAGAGGGTGAGGTAAGTTAGGAAAAACGTACATCTTGTAGTAGAAGGTCTTGCTCTCGGCGTCCGAGGCGGCCGAGGGGAGGAGGTGGTCGTCGATGACCTTGAGGCAGTCGTTACAGATGGAGTTCATCTCGCCCTCGACCTTGTTGGCCAGCGCGCGAGCGTGCTTGATCCTCATCTCGATCTTCTCCGGTCGGTCCTCCTCCTTCTTGAGGATGGAGGAGACGATGCGCCACGTAGCCCTGCGCGAGCCGATGACGTTCTTGTAGGCCACGCTGAAGATGTTGCGCTCCTCGACGGACAGACCCTCACCGGTCTTCAGCGACGCAGCGACCTTCTTGATGGCCGCCACCATCTCGTCGTAGCGCTCGGCCTGCTCGGCGAGCTTGGCTTCGTAGATGTTGGCCTCGCGTTCGGTCGTCATTTTTCTTTCTGAGCGGTGGTGTGGGGCGTGAGGGGTGAGGTGTGTGCGGTTTGTAGTGCGTTGGCGCGACTGAGAGACAGAGAAAGACAACAACGCGCAGACTGGCGTGGCCCCAGAAATAAAGAGACAACCGCTGGTTGCGGAGCAGCAATTTATTAAAAAGAACATAACTCGAATTCCAAAAGGAATGTTTGCAGTATTTGAAGCAAAACCCCCCACATCATGCACCCTGCTTTACCCCTATCCAATTGGTCTTAGCAGACACCCCAGCTGACCCTTCACCCCTCAGCCTCAATATACAGGAGTATATAACAGTGTTATAGCTCCCAATCTTATTTGCTATCCTTGGCTGTTATGCATCACTCTTTTGCACTTAGTGAAAACTCAGCCCATATTGCCCCCAGTGCCAATCACATGTAGTGGACACTCCCCTTTGCCCTCAGTTTGGTCAGACCAGAGGAAGTCACACTGTCTGATGGTGTTGTGTGCCATGGATACCATCTCCAAACTTCCTTTGCCCATCCACAACAACCACAAGTGCCAGGAGTTTCAATTCCAGGCTCATCTTCAGCAAGCTACCTAGTGGCAAATGGGTGAGTTTTCCTCCACCATCAGCCTCTGAAACACCCTGGCTCTCAGGGTACACCACCTCCCCTACCAATCTTCTCAACTGCCTCAAAATTGCTTCTGACAAATGGTTGAAAAGAAATGTCACTGCTGTTGTCAAGGGAAGCCAAAGTGGTCTCTGTGGCTGCTGTAAACAGACTACTGGTAGTAGGCAGCCTTGGTCTTGTCCTGGAGGAGACGCGCGGCGTCAATGGCGCCGTAGGTGAAGATGATGCTTGCGCCCGCCCGGCGCAGGCTCAGCAAGCTCTCCAGCAGACACCTGACAGACCACACACACACGCACACACCTGTGTAAGCCGCGTCATGCATTGTGTCGTGCGTCGTGCGTGCGTTGTCGATGGCGTACGAGTCGTAGTTGAGCCAGCCCTGGGCGGAGGCGGCCTTGAGCATGGCGTACTCGCCGCTCACGTGGTAGGCCGCGATGGGCAGCGCGGTGGCCTGCTTCACCGCCAGGATGACGTCCAAGTAGGGCAGACCCGGCTTCACCATCAGCCAGTCCGCGCCCTGCGCCCCCCCCCCCATACAACCCATTACTCTTCCGCGCGTGCCGTGCGTGCTGTGCGTGCGGTGCGGCGTGCGGTGCGTGTCGTGCGGCGTGCAGCGTGGTGTCGTGCCTCGGATTCGTCGAGGTGGACTTCGCGAAGGGCCTCGGTGCGGTTGGCGGGGTCCATCTGGTAGGTCTTCTTGTCGCCGGCGCGCGGGGCCGAGTCGAGGGCCTCGCGGAACGGGCCGTAGAACGACGACGCGTACTTGACGCAGTAGCTGCAGATCGCCACCTGCGTGAACCCCCTCTCGTCCAACGCCTGCGCTCGACACACACACACACACACACACACACACACACACACACACACACACACACACACCACACAACCGCACACGCACGCAACCGCACACGCACACACGCGAACGAGTGTTGGCTGAGAGGTGTGGAGGGGGGGGGCACGACGACGCGGTACCTTGCGAATGGCGCCGATGCGGCCGTCCATCATGTCCGAGGGCGCCACCATGTCGGCGCCGGCCTCGGCCTGGGCCACGGCCATCTTGCACAGCAGCGGCACCGTGATGTCGTTGTCGATGATCCCCTCGTCCGTCACCTGCGTCCCACCCGTGAGTGTCGCGCGCGCGCGTGTGTCGTGTGTGTCGTGTGTCGTGTGTCGTGTTGTGTGGCAGACGTACGTAGCCATCGTGGCCGTCGGAGGAATAGGGGTCGAGCGCGACGTCGGTGATGACGAGCAGCTCGGGCAGCTCCTTCTTGAGGGCACGCACGCAGCGCTGCAGCAATCCCTCCGGGTTCCACCTGCAGCGCGTACGACACGACACATGACACACGACACACACGACACACACGACACACACGCACCACCGTGTACGGCTGGTCAGCCACGGCGTGCCCTATACATCATCATCAGCAGGGCCGGCGGAAGACGTACGACTCGTCACCGGTGCGGCTCTTGACGGTGTCGTCGAGCGCAGGGAAGAGGGCCACACCCGCAACGCCCACCTCGTACGCCTCTGAAAATAAAAACAATACAATTAAAAGAAAAAACAAATATAATTGTCCGTCCAATAAATCAGCGAAAGATATTTAGATTAAATTTCATAAAAATATTTAACGGCATAAAATTAGAAAATCAAAAATATAAATCTGACGGTCGGGGGTACCTTTGGAGATGGCGACGATGTGATCGATGGAAAGGCGGTAGCAGCCGGGCATAGCGCCGATGGCATCCTTCTTGTCGGTGCCCTCCTGCACGAAGAGCGGCAGCACGAGATGCTGTGCGCTGAGAGACGTCTCCCGCACGGCGGCACGGAGTGCCTGGGTGCGTCGGTTGCGTCGCGGCCGCTGGGCCAGATCGAGCACGGGCGCAGTGGTGGACATGTCGATGTTGAGTGTTTATAGATCGGATGAATGAATGGCAAAATAAAAAGGCAACAGAAGGCACAACGTTGAATCAAAAACCGGAGATTGTATTTCTTCTAACGTTCCACGGTGGTGATGTTCTTCTTCAAGAACGTGCAACGCGTCTTCATGGTGTAGTACGGGGGTGCAGCGTTGTTGGTTGTGGCGGGGGGCAGCCCTGGTTGAGCAGACAGGCCTCGGCGCTGGATCTCTGCTGGTGAGTTAGAGGACCCCACCATCTCCTATCTCTCTTTTTCCACGCGCCTCGAGAACGCCTCGAGAATGTGTGATGGATGAATCCCGTGTGTGTGTGCGTGTGGCTGAATTTGGTGATCAGGATCAGTTCAAAAATTTGGAGGTGGGAGAGTTTTCTTGGGTCTTCTTTTACCCTTAGTGGTTGTGTGCGGTTGTGTGTGTGTTGTGTGTTGTTGTGTGTTGTGTGTGTGTGTGTCGTGTGTGTCGTGTGTGTGTGTTGTGTGTGCGTGTGTGTGTGCGTGTGTGTGGAAGCGGTAAAGAGAGGGGAATTGCGAGAGCGGTGATGGAAGGTACGTGTAGCAGAGGTGGAGCAGATACCACAAGAACAGATGCCACCCTCCCCCTCTTTGCCATAGTTACCTGTGTGCGCGACATAGAAGAGAACACACCACATCATGTCCTGCACCACGAGGAAAACGTCAGCCTACCAATCGCACACACCGCACACACCGCACTTGAGCGTACCGTTGATCACCAGAAGACAGTTAGCTTCCACTTCCACGGGTCGTCCGCACACACGCGAGGTTAGAACACGCGCATGCAGACAAGATGGCGGACGTGCACGCACCCTCCCCCCATTGCTTGTCTGTCAGTGTGGTGGGTTCACGCCACGATGACGGATGCCGGCGGCAGTACGACTCCGCGTCGCTCGGCCTGGCTCCTGCGCTCGGCCTCCGTCTCCTTCGCCTGTTCGTCGCCGCCTCGCGCCAACGCAATCCACTAAGGGCGGAGAGGAAACACAACACAGTGTAAACGAGCGTGTGCGATGATGCGTGTGCGGTGCGTGTGCGTGTGCGGTGGTGCGTGTGCGGTGGTGCGGTGGTGCGGGGAAGAGGTAGGAACGTTGAGCCAGAGAAGGGCAGAGGTGGGGTGAGTCTGGACGGCCTTTTGGAGCAACTGTCGGACTCCGGCCTCGTCGCCTTCGCGCATGCGCACCCGGGCGGCGCTGCAGAGTGTGCCGTGTCAGTCAACACAAAGAAAGGCCCTAAGGACCCCGTCCAGCGAGGTGACGCACTTGAGCCAGACCACGTCGAAGGCCGGGTTCAATCGGAGAGCCGCGTCGAGGAGGGACCTGGCCGCAGGGATGTTGCTGCGCCCGAGTTCGAATCGGGCGACCCTGTTACGTCGAACCGAGCGAAGAAGAGAAAGAAAGAAGTGGGAACCGATGAGCTCGAGAGAGAGAGAGAGAAAGAGAGAGAGAAGGCGGGGGAGTCGAAAACGAAAGAGAGGGAGAGCGTACGAGAACGAGAGGAGCGTGTAGGCCGGGACGATCTGCAGCACGGCACGCTGGACGGGTCCTCGCTGCGTCGGGTGCAGACCGGCCAGCGCAGACTCCAGCAAAAGGCCGTGCCATGCGTAGGACTGCGCCGCACGCGCACACCCGCAATCGAGGGTTAGGTTGGGCTGGGCTTGGCTGGGCTGGGCTGAGTCGACGAAGTGTGGGTACGGACCATGGGCGCGGTGTCGCGAATGACCTTCCGGGCGTAGGGGTGAAGGCTCTGCAGCTGCTGAGGGAGCGGGGCTGCGGCGGGCGTGGCCGCCACGTCCGAGAAGCAGCGCGAAAGCAGGTCCACCACTTTCTGCACGCCGGCGGCGCCTTCGATTCCCTGACGAAGCGCGACGTACCTGGAGAGCGAAGGGCGGGTGAGACCACGACACGACCAAACGACACGACACGACCAACGTCACAGCCAAGTCAGGGGAGCGCTGAGTCGTGTCACGTACTGGTGCCAGATGGGCAGGCGGTCGGAGGCGGTCGGCAGGGCGGAGAGCGCGGCCTCGAAGGCAGATCTGGCCGTGGAGGCGCCGTACAGGCTCTCGAACAGGCAAAAGTTTTGCCACAAGTGCACGTTCCGCTCCGGGTCCTTCACTGCTGTGCGGCGACCACACACGCACACACGACACACGCACACACGACACACACACGCACACACGCAAGAACACAACAGTCGAAATGAGAACACAAGGCAATACCACAGCAGTGGAGGAAGAAGGGAAGAGGAGAGAAGAGAAACTCGAGGGCGCCCAGTCGTACCGCTGGTGGCGGCCAGACGCAGCGGGGCCTGGCCCTCGGGCGCGGGCAGGTGCAGAAGCGCGTGGAAGACCGAGCGGACGGTGGCGAGAGGCAGCGCGAGCTCCTTGGCCCCCTCCGGGCCCGGGGTCAGGAACTGGCCGACCGAGCGGGCGAGCACGTCCAGCGCGGCGGCCGGGCTCTTGCGGACCAGGGCGAAGAGCGCGTAGGCGTGCCAGCCGGCGAACTGGTCCGAGTAGCGGAGGACGAACTTGTTGAGGATGAGCTCGGCGTCGCTGTGGTTGCCGGCCACCTCCTCGATCCACGCGTAGACGATCCACAGCTCGGCCATGGTCGGGGTGGAGCGCAGGTACTGCTGGCACATGAGCCGACACGCGTCGACCTCGCCCGTGTTCAGCTTCAGCAGCAAAAAGTTGAGCTGCGCCACCATGCGCGCCTTGGCGGCCAGCGCGCCGCCGGGGGTTGCTGACGTGGCGGCCACGGCCGGGAAGAGGTCCACCACGCGGCGGAGGGCGTCGGCCAGGCGCTCCAGCCGCGAGGGAGCCGACGAAGAAGGTGCGGGACCCGACGATGAGGCCGCGGCCGGGTGCGCCAAGACGTCGCGGGCGAGCGGGCGCCAGTCGATGAGGAAGACCTGGTGCGGGAAGCGCATGGCGCGGTCGGGCGCGGACGGCAGCCGGCGGTGGGCGAGCAGGTAGACGTAGGCCAGGGCGAGCGCGCACCGATGCTCGACCGTGAGCGCCGCCATGACGGCCCCCGCGTTGGCGGCGGGCGACGCGGGGGGCTGGTAGACCTCGGCGTCTGGTCCTTCCGACGCCGCGTGCGGGTCGGCGGTCTGGAAGAGGAGGTGGTGGAGCCGCGCCAGGGCTGCGGCCGGCCGGCCGGCCTGGGTGTAGGTGTGGGCCAGGAGGAGGATCATATCCAACACGTCCCGCGATTGCGATTCGTACTGCTGCTGCTGCTCGGCGTTGCCCGAGGTGAGATCCAGCTCGGCCAGCCTGCCCAGCGCGCGCTCGCACATCAGCGCCCGCCCACGCACGTCGTCGATATGGGCAACATATCTGAGGGCGCCAAATATAGTAAATCAGCTCACATCACACACAACATATAAGACGACGCACACGCACACGCACCACCGCACACACGCGCACACGCGCACACACGCACCACCGCACACGCACCACCACACACGACAATTTCACACACAGTGGAGGGACGTACATGCGCCACATGAAATAGGACCGAGGCAGGAAATTGACGGCGCTCTCGAAGAGGTCGCGGATCTCAGTGGCCGACGGGGTTCGCTCCTGGTGGAGATAGAAGTGGAGGTAGGCCTTCCACAGCTCCTCCGACGTCGCGTTGGCCTCCAGTGCGCGGGCGAGCACCACCAGCGGTCGCTCCTTCGCCGCCCGCCTCTCCTCCTCCGTTGCAGCATCGCGGCCCTTCGCATGTTGCTGCGCGGGCAGAACCGAGCGTCAGCAGTTGGCCATCTCACTCCAAGCACACACACACACACGACACACACGACACACACACACAACACACACAGCCACTATAGAGAGAGAGGTACCACGAAGGCGTAGTTGAGCCAGCCGGCCACGTTGTGCTTGTTGGCGCGGATGGCCTGCTCCAGGCTCTCCAGCGACCGCTCACCGTAGTACCGGCTGCTGCTGTCTTCGCTGGCGGCATCACCAGTGGCGCTCATGGCGGCGCTGATTCCGCCGCCAGGACCGGGCTGCCTGCTAACGTTGGCATCGTCGCCGCCGCTGCCGCCGGCCTCGTCGTCGCTGTTGTCTTCGAGCACCGGCACAAAATCGCGGCCTATCGTGCTCAGATCCAACGCTTCGCCGGCTGCGGCAGCACGCTCCCTCGCGGGACTCACGCGCTGCTTCTTGTTCGGCGGCGCGCTTGCGTCACGACTCGAAGGACCGCGCATAGCTGCAATTCCGCACGACCAACCAACAATCAAGCAAGTAAATACGCGGTGTGTGAGCAATGAAGAATCATACGCCATGATGTTGGCCAGCGGAGACATACGTCGAGCGGGCCTGGATTGTCGCCCGCGGCGGTTCGTGCGCTGTCGGCCTTCGAAGGGGTTGGCGTGTGACGCCCGAGCGCTCAGGACGGCGCTGTGCGGGTAGGACGCGTCCGACCGCCGCTCGTTGATGAGGTCCACCAGGCACGACAAGGGGTCGACACCGTGGGTCTCCTGGACTTCGCGCAGCAAGTCCTCCTTGGAACCGGCGCCCACCTCCTCCGCATAGCTCGCCAGATCCTCCAACACTTCGGCTTCTGCACCACACAGCAACTCGTCAATAAAGACACGACACGCACAACACACGCACGACACGCACGACACGCACTACACCCACGGGGTGTTTGACAAGGAACAGGCGGAGCGCACTAGTGGGAGTGGCATCGCGTAGGTGCTGAAAGGGACATTCGTCGTCATTACATGTTCCGTGCAGTTCGAAGGCGCACAGGTGGATCCAGGGATTGATCTTGTGCGAGTACGTCAGGCTGTCCAGGCGCAGATCGTACTGCGGACTGTTGTGTGGGCCGATGCAAGGTGCGACGTTAGTACACACGCACACGCACCACCGCACACGCACACACCACCGCACACGCATGGGAGGCGGGTGCTCATGTGAGACAGTACCTGAGACGCCACGAGCGCAGGCACTTGAGAGGGCTCCGATAGCCCGGTATGGGGGAGACCTGGCGGCTGGGGCGGCTGGCCTTGGTCTTCGGTCGGCGGGCGTTGGCGAGGGCGGTGAACTCGAGACCCTCCATGTCCAGCTCAAATCCTGCACACACGCATTCAAGAAAAAACCGTTAGCGCTCCCTTGGACCAAAAACACACGGCGCAACCAACGACACGACACGACCAGCGACACGTTCAGTCGAGGTGCGCACCTGCTGCCTTGGATGTGGTGGAGTGGTCCTTGGGCCACAGGAGGCTGGGCAGTCGGGAATAGACGGCGGAGGGGATGAGCGAGGGCACCAGATGAAGCGGCAGCACACAACGCGACTGGAGGGAGACGGGGAAGAGGTGCTCCTCGGCGCTCTCCACCTCGAGATCCACGTTCATCGCGCCGGCGGTGGCCTCGGCTGCGTGGCCATGCGCGCCATTGGCCGTCGCCTCGGCCTCTTCCTCCCCCTGGTCGCTCCTCTCCTCCTGTTCCTCTTCGTTCGACTCCGATTCGTCTTCGTCTTCCTCTTCGGCTTCGCTTTCCTTCTCTTTCTCTCTTTCCTCCTCCTCTTCTTCTCGCGCCTTCCGCCTTCGTCGCTCCTCCTCTTCCTGTTGTTTCTCTTCCATTTTCTTCCTCTTCTTCTTCATCGATTTCTCTTCTTCCTCCTTTTCCAGCTGTTGCTTCTTCAGGGCCTCCTCCTCGGCGAGCCGGCGCGCCTGGAGCTGCTGCTCGCGTTCCTGGTTCTCGCGCCGCAGCCGCAGCAGCCTCTCCTTCTCTTCGTTAAACTGGCGCAGCAGCTCGGCGTGCTCCTTCTCCTTCTCGCGCTTCTCCTTTCGCTGTCTCTCCTGCTCGAGCGCTTGGGCCTGCTGGGCCTTCTCCCTCTCCACGCGCTTCCTCTCCCGCTCCAGCTCGCGGCGCAGACGCACCAACTCCTCGTACTCCTCCTGCTTCACCTTGACCAGCTCCGCCTGCTCCTGCTCCTGCTCCTTTTCCTCTGCCTTTTCTTCCTCTTCCTCCCTTCTCTTTGCGTGCGCTCGTTCCCTTTCCCGTTCCTCCTCTTCTTTTCGCTGCCTCTCCCGTGCGGCCTTTTCCTGTTGCTCCTTGGCCGAGCGCAGCACCGCGGCGCGCAGGGCCGCCAGCTCGTCGATTGTGCTGCTCGTTGTGGCGGCTTGCTGGGTATCTTCAGCCGCGTCTGCAGTCGGTCAAGCGCAATCGTCAGTCAGCATTGCGGGGTGGCGAGCTGAGGGAGAGAGAAAGAAAGAAAAGGAAAAGGAAAAAGCAGGACAAAGTCGCACCGGCGGCGGTGGGCGAGGGCATGTAGCTCGCAGCCGCGGGGCTGTCGGGGCTCGTGGCCATCTCGTTGGAGATCTTCCACTCAACGTAGGCCTCGGCCAGTCGCACTCGCGCGGACTCTAGCGAGCGCTTGAGCTGCTGGATCTGCGCACGCTTGGTCGCGAGATCGCTCTTCTGCGCCGCCACGCGCGCTCGTATCTCACCCTGTGCGTAAGGGCGCGGAGCGACACACACAATGGTGGTCAGCCAACATGTGTCTCTCCTGCTATGTAGGGGGGAATCAATCAGGCCAACATGTACCTCCTCCTCGACGCATGTCGAACGCATCTCTTCAATGACGCGAAGCTGTTCGCGGAGAACGTGCGCTCTCTTGTCGAGATAGGCTCGGCGGCCTTCCGTGTCGGCGAGCTTCTGTTGCGACTGTCGAAGGAAAGGGTAGGAAAAGGTGAGGAAACGAAAAGAAAAGAAAAGACGGTTCGGCAGCCACACCGCGGAAAGTGAGTAAGCGGAGTCGTACCTCCACGAGCGAATGCTCGCCGTTGAGGGCCGCTTCCTGGCGAGCCTTGAGCGCATCTTCCTTTTCCTTCACCTTACGCCGTAGCGCGGTGACAAACGCGTCGTCTATTCCTTCGAGATCGGACGGCAGGAACTGCGAGTGCTTGCTCCCTGTTCCTGAATAATAATAATAATAATAATAATAATAATAATAATAATATAGAACAGCGCGTGTTAGGCTTCCGCAAAAGCACGCCATGGAAAGAGGGGAGGGAAGCGGCATACCTGCTGCGGCCACAACGGCGCTGGCCGAGGCGGACGTTCTGTCCCGTTCGGCGAGCAGGCTGCGCAACCTGGCGAGCTCCTCGTCCTTCTGCCTGAGGAGGTCGTGGTGCTGTTGATTTGTGTTTCCTTCCCTTCGGGCCACCGTCTCCTTGGCTTGCGCCAGAATCGAGTCGAGCGAGCTGCTCATCGAAGAGAAGTTCTGGCGATGTCCATTTTTGATTGGTGAGGCTGCTAATAATAAATAATAAATAATAATAAATAATATAAAATACAACATAATCAGAAGAAATATAATAATAATTTATAATAATACATAATAAGAATAAGAAGAATAAGAATACCCTTTGCTGCTGCATGTCTTCCATCTCCGAGTCGAGGTCCATCTCTTCCTCGCCGCCCACAGCGAACGGCGGACGCGTGGCGGGCCATTGAGCGTGCATGCCCGCATCTGATGTCGGGCGGTCAGTGTTGGAATAAGGGCTGGCGGACGTGGTGTGCCACCTTAAAAGCAAAGGGGAGGGACGTCGTACCCATAGCGCCTGGTGCCGGGTAGTACGGCGGCGCGCCATACGGAGGCGGCGGACCATAGGCGGCTCCGTAGGTCGGCAGATGCTCGGCAGGCCGCTGTGTGCCCCGATAAGCAGGGCCTGCGGGCTGGTAGCCGGGCGGCCACCCACTCGCTGCATAAACGAGGGCAACGCTTAGCGTGAAGACTGCAGCGGAGATGAAATTGAACGAAACGTGGCGACGTACGCAGAGAAGTAGTGTGCGGCTGCTGCGAGGCCAGGGCGTCAGCGGCGGGGTAGCCAGGAGGCGAACCATATCCGCCCACACGCCCACGACTGCCTGCTTGAGCGAAGTTGATTGAATTCAGTGGACCAGTCACGCGCGGCTCGGGCGTGATGCAACATACCAGCGAAGGTGGTGTAGGCCGACAGCGGCGGCGGCTGCTGCTGCTTCTGCTGCTCAGCCTTGGCGGCAGCCTTGGCAGCTCGCTTGCGCTCTCGTTTTTCGCGTCGCTCGAGCTCCCAGCGCTCTCGTTCACGCTCGCGCTCCATTTCGACCTCTCTTCTCTCGCGCTCGCGTTCCCTCCGTTCGATCTCGCGTCGTTCGGCCTCTCTCTTCTCCCTCTCGCGCTCCCGTTCTCGCCGTTCGCGTTCCCTACGCTGCTCGTCCCTGCTCTCCTTGTGCCGTCGCAGCAGCAGAGCAAAGTCGTCCTCCGGCGGCGGCTCGTCCATGTCATGCGTGTAGCCCTTGTTGTGGAATTGGCCGCGACGCGGCGCTTCTGGTTGCTGGTGCGGCCGCGACCACTCGGCACTAAACGGAAAAGTGGGTGAGTGAATGTTGTGTGTGTGGTGTGGTGTGGTGTGGTGTGGTGTGGTGTGTGACAACATGCACGGTCCGTGCGTACCGTTTGGTATTGGGGCTACACTCTGGAGTGGCGTCTTTGACTGTCGTGGGTCGGTTCTCCGCAGATGGCGACGAGTGCTCCTTCGGCGCTGGGCTCGACTGACGGACGACGTGCGGTTGCTGTTGAGGTGCAGGATCCTTGGGGGCAGGGGCGACGCTGCGATCTTCTTCATCTGCTGTCGCATTCGTAGCAGATGTGAGTGGTGACGATTGGCCTGCTGGCTCTGATGGCTGCTCGCTTCCTTCGGCAGACGTGGAACCGCTACTCGAATCGCTCTCCATTTCGTTCTCTTGGCCTTCACTCGCGTTGCCATTTTTTGACGTAGAATCGGACTCCTCCATGCACTCCTGATTTTCATCGTTGCTGGGCGATTGATCAGTCTCGATCCTCTCGGCTGGCGTATCCGCTGGCGGCGTAGCAGCTTGCTCCTCTTCATCTTCATCTTCGTCTTGCTCTTCTTCCTCATCGCTATCGTTTTGCTCCTGCTTGATGGCGACCGCGCCGTTCGCTTCAGCCACCGCGTCGAGAGCGAGGGCAACTGCGTCCATGGATGTCGTCGTGTCGAGCACCGATGTGGTGGGTGCAGATGTGGATATTGTTGCAGGCTCGGAAGGGGTAGAGCCGCCTGCCGACACTGGGGCCGATGCCGACGCCACAGGAGAGGAGGAATCGCTGGGGGCTTTCGCAGGGGCTGGCTTCAGCTTCATCATGCTCTGGAGTGCCATGGCTCGAAGCGCCTCCAGCGAAGATGGTAGCGTGAATGATGGCTTGGGCGGTTCATCTTCGGGAAGTTCGCCCTCTTCCAATTCTCCATCCTCTAGATCATCCTTCTGCATCGTGCAAGCGATCGCTTGTCAAGGCCAATTTGAATCAGATGGGCAGGACACGCGTGCGCTTGAAATACACAATAACAAAAAAAAAGAAAAAAAAAGGCAAATCACAGATGGACAGGTCGCGGCTGGTGTTCGTGTACGGGACCCTCAAGCGGGGCCACCACAACCACCACCACATGACCCATCCTCCTGGTATACGACCCTGCACGAGTTTGAAATCATCACTGTATTATTAATGAAATCAATTCAATACAAAATATCAATTAATCGTGATCTCGTTCAGGGAGCTCTCGATTCGTTTGTGCAGGACGAACGAGGGAGGAAATGCGTCTCGTCGTGGCACCGCCCTTCCGTTCGGTGTTCTTGTTGCCTCGCTCGCTCACGACGTCAGCCCTCCTCGCCGGCGCCTCCTCCGCGCCTGCTCCCACATTGCCTCAATTCCCCACGCACCACCGTATCACAGGTTCGTCTCGTGCACCACCTCACACGTTTCTTGTGCGTGTCGTGCGACACGGCACACGTGTGTTGCAGATCGTGTGGTACTCATTGGAGACGTCTTGCCACCGCACCTGTAGGAGAGGTGTGGGCCGTCGATGAAGAGATGCTGGCGAAGCTGGACGGCTTTGAGGGCTGTCCCATCTACTACGAGGTACGCCCCGTGCATGCCAACGCCTCGATTCTCGTGAGATCCTCACGCGAGGTATCATGGTCATCATCATCATTACCATCATCATCAGCGCCTTGCCACGGAGGTCGAACGGTTGGAGGAGCCCGGAGCCAAGGCCACGGGGGAGTACATTGAATGCTTCGCCTACTTCAAGAAGACCATCGATCCCTCCTTCCACGAGCTCGTCGCCATCCCTGAGTACCATCCAGGTGCGTGTAGTTGGTCATGTCGTGTCGTGCTACAAGCATTTTTCTTCTTCTTTGCTCATAATTCAGCTGAGGCCTGCTTCATCATCCAGACCCGCTCTACGTGCCGCCAGAGAAGAGGCCAGCTGACTGGAAGAAGTATTATATATCCCAAGACAAGACATCCTGATCGCTCTACCACCCTCTGCCTCTTCTTCTACTTCTTCTTCTTCTTCGACCGTGTGCTGTACATGTGGCCTGTCTGGCCAGCCCGATTGCTGCGTCTGGTGCGATGCTCGCGAGGTTGCGCCGTCTATACAAGGGCGCCGCCCAGCTTCATGAGCGTCGCCATCACGTTGGCAGATACGGGCATGTCCATCTTCTCGCTGTCCACTACATGTAGAGAGGGCGACGTAGAAGAAAAAGATGACGGTGAGCGACTACGAAAGAAAGCTTTCGCGAAGGGTGCAGTGCGAAGTAGAAGAGACTCTGTTGATACCCTTCCTGTGGTGGTTCCTCTGATGTCGTTCGCTCTCTCGGTGCTGCAGGTACTCCTCCTCTGTCCTGTGCTGTGTGAGGCACAGCTTGCACTCGAAGCAGCCTCTGCAGAGATGATGGTAGATGCGTGGCAGGGAGCTGGTTAGAGCCGTTGAGGTGAACGTGAAGAAGAGAGGTGGCCGTACAGCTCAGGCTCTTCCTGGAGGTAAGGGTCCTGCACACGAAAGGGATCAGGAATCGGGAATGATGAATCATGATGAGACCAAATGAAGCTGACCTTATCGATGAGAGGCTGGTCATCTCCCTCTGTTGGTTCCACTTGCAGCCGGTAGTCCTCCTGACTCTGCACGCGCGTAAGTGATGGCTTAGCGGAGAAAATGGAGATTGGCGCACCCCAGACAATGATCCTCTACGACGCACCGCGGACATGATGATCTTCTCTCTTTGTTTGATTGTGTTCTCTAAGAACCATTTTCACGAGCCTGAAGTAGGTGGTGAGGGTTCGCTCTCGCCATGACGAGATCTGGCGAGAGTTTTCCATCTCATTGAAAACCGAAGGAGAAGCTTCCAAAAAACGCAGATTTGCACAAAGCTGTCCCTTCGAGAACAGGAGATAACAAAGGTGTTCTCCAGGACTTTACTAGCACAAGCCACCTGGCGTTTGGAGAACCAGGCTTGGCTGAATGCAGACTTGAATAAATATTTATAATATTATAATAATCACAAAATGTGGAAATATAAATACTTAATTAATAAATTTTGTGCCCATAATTTTGTCTCCTGCGTCTGTACAAGATGGAGACGACCCGCGCTTTGTTGGCTCTCTTGAGCGTCCTGGTTTTGCTGGCCTTCGTTGCTGCGACCACGGCTGCGAAGTCCTCCACTTCGTTCGACGCCTCGCTCCTGCCCGGCAGTGACTGCCCCTTCTGTGGCAACTGTAGCAACCACAACACCGTACCCCCCCTTCTCTTCTCCTCTTTTCCCCTTCTTTTCTTCCTTCAACACCACCTTGGGGGGCTTTGGGCGGGGGGGGGGCTACCAGTGCGTGCCCAAGGCTTGTGGCGGCTGCCCGACCTTGCTGGCCGCCTCGCAGGCGTCGAGGGCTCTCATCATGAAGGTCAACTGGACGAGGCACGACTACGCCTGGGGCTTCCAGGGCGAGGTCCTCAAGATGTACACCGTACGTCCTTCCCCTCTCCCCACCACCCACCACACTCACGTCTCATTGCGGCCATGCGCTCATGCCACGTCGACGCACGCGCGCATGTACAGGGGTCCAACACCCAGCGGGCCGTGGGCGTGCCGCCTCAGAACACCAACAGCCCGTGCTTCACCACCTGGCTGATCGGCCAGTTACGTCACGACCCTCGCTTTCTGTGCTGCCTCGCACGCGTGTTTGGTGTGTATGGTGGTGTGGGGTGACTCACCGTGTGTCGTGCTGCGTGTTGTGCTGGCAGGCCCTACATTGTGGCGATGGTGTACGCAGGTGAGCAACCGCCCGTCAAGTTCCAGCCGGCCGGCCCCGACGCCCCCGAGTGCTTCTTCATCCCCCTGGACCAGTGCCAGTACTTCAAGCTCGAATCGTACGCCCCGCTCCGCTACGTTGGGCCTGGTTGGTTCTTTTTTTTTTCCACCTTCTCTAAAACTCTTCATTCTTTTAGGCTGCTCACCCCTGCCGAGCAGAAGATCCTGAGCCAGTACTCATAGAAGGAGCCGTTTGTGTGCTTCTTCTGGCCGCACCCCATTGTACCTTTTACCGATTTTTTTAACTTTAAACTCCAGACAAAAACCATCCATAATGTTACAACACATACATGATGAATTTGCCAACCAAGGCTCAAGAAACTTGAGGGAAGAGCGTAGTGTCTCAGTTGTAGTTGCTGATTTTCAACTTTGTTGACACAAAGGTTGATGTGCCAGACTAAAAAGAAATGAGGGGTGCAATTGCAATAAAACACATTCACAACTTGGTGGAGGTGTCTGAAGGCTCTTGGTTGATTGCAGTTGTGGCCCCAAATCATGCCTGAGGGGCTAACTTTTATTTGAATGAAGGGCTACCAGCTCCCTCAGAGTATGACTGAGCATGCTGCCAAGAATATCATTTTGTATGATGACCTCATCAAACATCCTTGGTTGTTCTTGGCCTTGTGTAGCTTGCCCACCACCCTCATTCAGAACATCCACACTGCAGTAGACAAAACACAAACGAGCCCCATTGTTGGATCCACTCCTGTGCACATTCATTTTGTTAAGGCCATGCTTTTCTTGTGTTTTCTTGGCACCCCCAGGGGTGTCACAGTGACGAAAAGAACGGGAACAACTCTGTACAAACAAGCAACAACCACCACGCTCAAAACTTCTTGGCGTAGTACATGTCACGGAGTGTGGCATCATCATTGCGTCGGGCGTCAATGACAGCCTTCTTGCGGCGGCCGCTCAGGAACTCCTTCTTGCTTGATGTGCGCATCTTGAAGAGGGTCTTGGCCGTCGTGTCGCCCAGGCCCTCCAGCGCGTCCTCTTCCCTGGCCTTGGCCTTCCCCTTACCGCCGCTCGCACCGGACGTCGTACCGACCCGCCGCAGGCACTGCCGCAGCTCGTAGTCCAGCTGGTCCGTCAACCCCAGGAAGTTGGCCTGTTAACAGCAAAATATACATCATCAATCACCGACCGCACATCATGACACACGACACACGACACACGACACACGACACACGACACGCAACACACGACACGCGGCGCGTGGGGTGTGTACGTGTTCTTCCATCTGGGTGTCGGTGTGGGCGGCGCGTTTCATGAGCCGCTCGGAGGCGAAGAGGTTCATGCGGGCCTCCATGAAGCGGCCCACCTGGGCCTCGCGCGCGGCGCGCTGGACCGACGCGAGCGCGAGCACGGCCACATCGGCCTTGGCCTCCGTCTTGTCGCGCTTCGTCGTCACCCGACGCGTGGCCGTAATCACCCGCATGCACTGTGTCCACATTCCACGCATGTGAGAATGTAGATAGGGACCAATCTCCATTGACCCGCGATGACCGCGGTTTCCGTGCAACCGGTGTAAATTACCTGCATTCCGTCCTTGCAGGTGTAGTGGATCTGCACCTGGAACGGCGCAGCCTTCAGCTCAGTCGCCATTTCCTGCGAAGCCAAACGATTCGGCGTAAGCACACGACACACGCACGGCACACACGACACACGACACACGACACACGACACGCATGGCACACGGCACACGAACGCACACGCACCTCCTTGATGGCGTAGGTGAAGGTGAGATCGGTGTCGGCCATGGCGTTGCCCACGTCGTATTCGAAGAAGGGCGTGACGGCCTTCCTCTCCTTCTTCGCCTTCTTCTTGGTCTTCTCCGCCGTGGGCAGCGCGCGCCAGCCCAGGTACCTGTAGGAACGCGCTCTCGGGTCAGCCACAAGCCTTCTTGCCAGAGGAAAAGGGAAAGAAATCGGAAGAGCAAGCGAAGAAAACACGCGTCACACGTGCCTGTGGGCAAAGAGGCTGGTCTTGACGTTGGTCGCGATCACCGGGTTCTGCGAGATGACCCTGATCTGGCGCACCAGCTCGAGCGGATTCACAATATTGACCGTGCCTGTGTCGCACAACACAACACACAACACACAACACATGACACATGATACGCGACGCAAAGTTTAGCTCCGAGAGAACGAAGAATGCGACGGTCGGGGGCGGGGGAGTGATCAATACCGGAGGTCATCTCGGCGCAGCGGCTGAGGCAGTCCATGGCGCAGTCGGAGCCCTCGATGGAGAGCACGTTGATGGTGGTGTCGTTCTTCTTGGCCAGGCCGCCCACGCGCGTGTAGAACTCGGCGCCCCGCTCCTTCTCGGCGCCCTCGAGCGAGCCCACGCCCACGTTGCTCAGGCCGTCGGTGCACACCACCACCTCCGAGCGCCGGCTGTGCGACGCAATGGCCACCGCCAGCAGCAGCGCCGGACCCAACGCCGTCGCTCCATTCCTAGGAATGCATTCACATTCCACGAATAAGATTATTAATATTGTTTTCCAAATATGGATAAATAGAATATATAATGGCTAAAAAGAAGGAAAAAAGAGGATGGGAGACGCACTCTTGGAGTTGGGCGACCTTCTGGGAGACATCGTCGAGGGACTCGGCAATGGGGCGCAGGGCCTTGGTGTCCAGGTCGTGGCCCACCTTGAGCAGATCGTCGAACTCGCCCAGTCGGTCGCCCGTCACCACCTTGCCCCCGCTCGACCCGTCGCCCACAATCGTGACCTGTTCGACACAAAAAATAATAACATTATAATTCCACAACAGAATAATGTTGTGAATATGAACAGAAAAAAACACATAAAATAGAATCAGTGTAAAAATGTGAGAGAAATATTTAGATTGGGTGTGAGGGGTACCTCGTTGTTGAAGGTGATGAGGACCACCTTCTTGTTGGGACTCTGGACCTTGAGCCGCTGGAGGTGGGTGTCGACAGCGGCCTGCATGCACTCGAGCCGCGAGATGTACGACGCGTTGCGGTTCTCCCGCGGCATGTACTGGTACGAGTTCTCGGCATTGAACGACGCGTTGATCTCCTTGTTCTTCTCCTCCTTCGACTGTGCGCGCATCATATGATGAGTCACATGCGTGCGCGTGTGTGCGTGTGCGTGTGCGGTTACCTTGCCGCCGCCCTGTCGGAGGGCCTTCCATTCGTTCTGGAGCGCTGGTACTTCGGTGGAGACGCACATGGACCCGCTGATGTCCATGCAGAAGACGATGAGCCCTGTGTGACGGTGAAACCAAAGCCCGCCGCGACGAGTCAGAAGAACACACGACCGCACACAGGCACGTACTGCGGGAGGCGGCTTGGCTGCGGTGGTGACCGACGACGAAGACGAGGAGGAGGAACTGCCGCCGCCGAACATGTCCATGACCTTGCCGAAGAATCCCGACTTCTTGGGCGTCTTCCGGCCGGCCGCCGCCGCGTTCTGCACCGGAAGGCCGGAGACCACGATCTGCTTCCTGTAACTGTCCTCGATCGTCGGATCTATAGGAATCGAATCGGAATGAAATTAATCCCTGTTCCATGGTTACCATGCAACCATCGCGTTATGTAACCTACGATTGGAAAGGAAAAGAAGGAGAAACATGTGGTAACCGCGTACGTACCATAGCAGTCGACAAAATGGTTGCTGATGAACTGCACCGTGAAGGCCGACTTGCCGACGCCGCCGGAGCCGCACACGACCAGCTTGTACTCGACGCCGGTCCGGGGCGTGATGCGCAGCAGCTCGTGCACGGCCTCGTCGACGTTGACCCGCGTCTTGGCCGAGCTCTCGAAGAAGGGCATGCCGCAGCTGCGCGCGTACTCGAGGCCCTCGTTGCGCCCCACCTCGCGCTGGTCCCCCTCGAGGTCCACCTTGTTGCCGATCAGCACGATGGGCACGTCGTCGACGTCCTTGATGCGCAGGATGAGATCGCGGATGTTGCGGGCCTCGTCGAACGAGTTGCGGCTCGTGATGGAGTACATGACGATGAAGCACTGGCCCACGCGCATGTACTGCGATCGTTGGGCACACCCGCCATGAGTTCACCAGGCGCACACGGCACGCACATGGCACGACACGCACGCAACGCACGCACACGCAACACACACCATCGCACACGCACGACACGCATGCAGAGGTGCGAGTTCTGGGTTACCTGATCGCGCATGCAGCTGTACTCCTCCTGTCCGGCGGTGTCGAGCATGTCGAGCATGCACGTCTGGCCGTCGTCGGTGGTCTCCCAATTCTAGCAATACGTGCCCAGAAGAGTCAGCACTCGTGCACGAGACACACACAACACACAACACGACCAACGACACGACACGACACGACACGCGCCATACCTTGCGTGCCAGGGATGCCATGCTGGAGTCGAGGTCGAGCTCCTGGAAGTCCTCGTCCTCCATCTCCTCGGGGCCGGCATAGACCAGCTCGCTGCCAAAGGCCAGCGCGCCGCTCTCCCCGCCTTCGTCGTTCGTGGCCTGGGCCTGGGCCTGGGCCTGGGCCTTGGGCTTGGCCGGCTTGGCCGAGCCCTTGCGCTTCCGCTTGCTCTTCTCCTTTTCCTCGGCGACGACGACCGGCTCTTTGCTCTTGGCCTTGAGGCTGATGCCCAGCTTGATGGTGGTGGTCTCCTTTTCCTTTTCCTTTTCTTTGTCCTTCTTCTTCTTGTTGATGGCCTTCTGCTCCTGTTCGAGGGCGCTCTTGGCCTTGGCCTTGCACCACTTGAGGAGCACCAGCCGGTGCTTGGCGCTCTCGACGCCCATGCTCTTCAGCACCTCGTGGTCAAAGTCCTCCACGTCCTCCAGACCTTATGGGATGACGTCATTATTGTTGATAATAATAGAAGAATATATATTCGTGAATGAATACAAGCATGTTAATACGAAACAAAAAAATAAATAAATAAAAAAGGGATTCTAATCAATTTTACCGAAGTGGTTGTCGACGAGCAGGCTGGTGTAGGTGCGCACGTCGTCGGCAGGCAGGTCGATCCCGTCGAGAAGCGCCTCCCACCTCTTCAAGGGGTCCACTGGTACGTCCATGGCCGGTGCTTCTTTTTCTGTTTACGCGAGAGTGTGGCAATAATAACGTTCTAGTCGCCCTTCGTGCTGTGTTGCTCTAAAAATAGATAACCACTGCCGGCATGCCACGTCAGGTGGTTCGTTTTAGCCGAATGACTCCTTTGATGAAACGCAATGGTTTGTTGAGATCAATTTCGAAACACGTTCTGCACGAATGTAAGGAGGAAAGTGATGAGGAAAACCTTGAGAAATCAATTTCTCCAGCTGAAAAGGGCGCCAACGGACACATAGAACGACAGCTCGGCTGGATCAACATTGATTGGGCTTGTTGCTGATCTGGGCCGACTTCCACAGGTTCGATTCGTTTGCCCTCTTTCCCTTTTATCATCTTTCACCAAAAGTCTTTTTTAAACAATCATTCGACTCTCGCCACACAACATGTTCTGTCATGACCTCTTGGCAACAATATATTACCTGAATGAATATGTTCCTCATTTATATACTATTTATTTCCCATATTCTCTTCTTCTGTTCTTCCTGCTGACGTGGCGTGTAGAACCTTGAGTGAGCATGTTTGCATCTAACCGACGCCACGCTTCGACGTGCAAACCACAGCTTCATTGGCCACTACTACAGCAGTCAAGAGATGATGACAACGCCGACGACGCCGTCGCCCAAGGCGACGAGGGTGCGACAGAAGATCAGGCAGGCGCACGAGGGCCGCTGGGCGCACCTGAGCCTGGCCAACATGGGCCTCACCTTCTTCCCCGTGCCCAAGACACACGGCCCCGTCGAGTCCACCATGGACGAACGCGAACGCGAGGAGCGCGAGGAAAGGTATCAACACCGCACACACGCGCACACACAGCACGACACGCACGGTGACAAGTGCTTCGTGTGTCTGTGTGTTGTGTGTGTATGTGTGTGTATGTGTGTTGTGTGTGTGTGTGTGTCGTGCAGAGAGTTGTTGAATCAGCTGGAGCATCTGGAGAGTCTGGACCTGAGCAACAACGACCTGTGCCACAGCGCGTTTCCGTCGGTCAAGCGCCGCAGCAACTCGTTCTCGTCGCCGCTCAACGCCATCTCCGATCCGTTCAGCATGTGGTGGGACGACGATGACGACGCCGGCGGCGGCGGGCAGCATCACGGCCATGGTCGCACCCACTCGGCCGACGCCACGGCCACGGCCACTGCCGCATTCCTCGCATCGCTCGCCCTGACCGACCCCGTGCCGACCCCGACACGCCATATTATGTTGACCACGACATCAGAGACATCGGGTGAGCTGACATCAGCAACAGAGTCGTCGCCGTCGTGGTCGTCGACATCGTCGCCGCCGGCCTTGGTGGGGTCCTTCTCGACTTCACCCTTTCTTCCGCCGACCCCGCCGCCTTCGCCCATCACCTCCTTCGGCCTGGCCACGTCGTCATCGATGTCATCATCATCGACATCGACATCAACGTCGACATCGTCATCGTCGTCGACACATTTACCGCCGATGCTGCCGTCGCTGAAGAAGCTGAACCTGCGCAACAACAACCTGGACCGGATCCCGCGCTACGTGTGCTTCATTGCCTCGCTCGAGTCGCTGCACATCGAACTCAACGGCCTCACCGCGCTCAAGGGCGTCCAGTTCCTCACCCACCTCACCGAGCTCAACGCTCAAATGAACGAAATCGCGGTTCGCACACGACACAATCAACGACACGACACGACACGCGCTGATGTTAATGAATGGTATGTGGTGGGTCGCGTCCAGGGCAAGGTGCCGCAGCTGGCGGCGCTGTCGTCGCTGCGCACGCTGATGCTGGGGATGAACCACCTGACCGTGGGCGGCCTGCCCAAGCTGCACCATCTGAGCCACCTCGCGGTGCTCAAGCTCAACGACAACTCGCTCGGTAAGGAGACCCTCAAGCTCGCCTCGTCGACTTCGGCCCTCGCCACCCCGCCCTCCTCGCTCTCCTCGTTGTCGTCGTCCACGTCCACGTCATCATCCTCGTCGTCGATGTACGCCAGTGCCACGTCATCATCGTCGTCGATGTACGCCAGTGCCACGTCATCGTCATCGTCGTCGCCGCTGTCGCTGTCTACGTCGGCGCTGCGTTCGCCGTCGGCCACATCGCCGGCGCCGTTCATGCCTTCGATGCCGTCGACATCGATGTCGCCCTCGCCCGATTCGTCGGCGGCGGCGTCGTCCCTGTTGGCCTCTTCCACGTCGGCCTTTGCCAACCTCATCCGCAAACTGCCGCGCGATGGCGTCCTCGCCGAACTCGTTCTCGGTGCGTGCGTGCGTGCGTGCTGTGCGGTCGTGCGTGCGTGCGTCACGCGTGTGCGGTCGTGCGTGTGCGGAACTGACTGGGTTGTTGGTCCACACAGGCGGGAACTACCTGGGGCCGACGGTCCCCGAGAACATCGGGCAGCTGGGGAGCCTCACGCACCTGGACCTGTCGCGCAACGGCATCACGGCCCTCGGCGAGGCTCTCTTCGGGCTCACCCGCCTCTCGACGCTCGTACTGAGCCGCAACAGCCTCGCCCAGCTGCCTCCGCTCATCGGCCAGCTCACGGCCCTCACCTGCCTCAAGGTGGCGCCCCGACACGACACGACACGACACGACACGACACGACCAACGACACGACCAACGACACGACCAACGACACATTCTAATGTGGTGGTTGACTCAAGATGGCGGTTGACGATGGATTGACTCCCCCCCAGATCGACGGAAACACGCTGACGAGTGTGCCGGAGGAGGCGATGCGGGCGCTGACCAATCTACACACGCTCGAGCTGCAGCACAACCAGCTCGAGCTCTTCCCCCTCTGGTACTACTCCCACTACCACCACTACCACGCACACTTTGGCTCGTGGCGCTGACACGCACCACCGCACACGCAGTACAATCTACCTGGCCCGGCACTCACTGCGGGAGCTCGACCTGGCGCACAACTGCATCGACGCCTTTCCGGTGCGGACACACACACGACACACACACACACGACACGACACACACGACACACGACACACGACACACGTCTAGGTGTTTGTTGGTGTTGACACGCGTGGCAACCAATACAAGTTGGAGGACGAGGTGCCGCGCGAGCTGGGTGCGATAGAGGACATGACGCGGATGACGCGCCTCGGGCTGCAGTACAACTTCTTCGGGCGGGTGCCCGAGTGCATCGCGGCCGTCGCCAACCTGGTCTCCCTCGAGCACATGTACGCCGCCCAGCTCGTCACCGACCGCCTCTACATCGGTACTCTCACGCCCGCCCTTCCATTCTTTTTATTTCTATTTCTAGTATTAATAATAATAATAATATTAATGTTATAGAATTTGTATATTTGTGGAATAATAATTTTTTGTTTATTTTATTTTTGGATTTAG